GGATTTTTTTAAAAGGGAAATAAAGTCCGAAATTCATTACGTTCGAAGTCATGTTTTTTTTACGCCATAGTGTACACCCATATGCGGATGGCGTTTGGGAGAAAAAATTCGCCGCCCGCCCCTCCCCTACATTTTTAGCTCCTATACATAACCAGCCTCGACTCCATGGGTACGTGCGCGTTCCTTCACTAACCCATGGCTGTGACGAACACGTAAACGACGCTGACCGGCTAGTAGTGGAGCTGCTAAGCGAAAAATCGTGCACTTTGTGGTAAAAGCATGAAATTTGGCATGTGTGGTCAAAATGGGCTAAAAATCATTTTAAGATCGGGACCCATCCTGGATCTTGCCCATTTTGGGGGCGGAGCTTGATTTTTCAAAAAAAGGGGGTGCAAACAATACAAACTCATGAAAACTGTATTTAACATCAAATTTCCTTGTTTTTTTACGCTTTGAAATAAACTTAAACATGAAATAAGACATTCTAGCATTCTAACACCTGTTAATTTTCCCCCCATTTTGTGGGCGTGGTCTAAATGGTAAAAGAGGCGGTATATATTAGCAGTTTGGTTCTAATATGGAAAACGTCATTCAGTTTGGTGGTAAAATTCTGAAAATTGGCATGTCCAATTGAAATGGGCGAAAATAATTTTTTGAGGTGAACGCATCTTGGATCTTGCCCATTTGGGGGGCGAAGCTTGATTTTTCAAAAAGGGGAGTGCAAAAAAAGAAAACTCAGAAAACTGTATTTTACATTCACTTTGTAAATTCTAACATTCTAACGTGTTATTTTCACCCTTTTGCGGGCGTGGCCTAAATATGTAAAGAGGCGGTACATTAGAGCAGCTTGATTCAAACGAGGGAAAATCATCATTTTTGCTGGTAAAAACACAACTTTTCTATCGGTTAACTATGTTTACCATACACTGTAAAGATAAGTTTAAACGGTTGCAAGACTAATTGTTGCCCTTTTGTTCACTCACCCTGTATACTTACATTGGCGGCATTTCCTAATTGTGCAAGTACTATAAACACTATGGGGATCACAAGGAGAGGGAGGGGAATTAGGGGCGGCCCAATGAAGGATTTCTTGAAAGTGCTCTTCTAATATGTTTAATATATATATATATATATATATATATATATATATATATATATATATATATATATATATATATATATATATATATATATATATATAGGCATATAAACATAAAAATGTGCACAGAATATACGTCCATTCAGGCGCGGTTCTAGAACCAATATATTTTTGGGGGGGGGGGGGCTAGCACGGTGGATCCAGAACTTTTTCAGGGAGGCGTGCTGAAATGTTGACCGGTTATTTTTTCCAGACACTTAGGCCTCCGAAAATCAATAGGTGGGGAGGGGGGGGGGGGTTCATGCCATATTTTCAATGGGGAGCGCCAATAAAATCCTAAAATCATTCACGCTATATTAACTAATGTACCCTTGTCACAGCTATTTCTTCTTTAGGGGGAGACCGTTCGCATGTACATCACAATCCTTCTTTATGCTAATGCAATTTTTTTTTTTACGGAATTTATTTTGGGGGGGGGGGGGGGCTAGACAAAATTTTGGGGGGCTACAGCCCCCCTAGCCCCCCCCCCCCCCCCCCCCGGTAGAACCGCGCCTGCGTCCATTCCTTGCAGTGTGTACTGTTGGATTTATATTAGATGGATGTTGGGACTTGGGGGAGTAATGTGTTACTGACTGAAAAGGAGGGAATAATGTTGGGTTTTTTCGAGAAATTATGTAACTTCTTAAATAATGCGTTAGCAATGTTCAGTTTGCTGACGTCACGATCCTAAAACCTCACGAAGTCATTATGTTTTTCTATATAATATCTAAGGGTAAGTTTGGTAAAATTTGGATGAATGGTTTTTAAATTAAAAATAGTCTTACTTTCTTGGACGTGCTAGGGGGTGCCCTTTCAGGCGTTTTTATGCCCCGCGGCGAAGCCGAAGGGGCATACTGTTTCCGCCTTGTCCTTCCGTGGGTGGGTGGGTGTGTGAGTTTGTCTTACATTCCCTATGTGGACTTGTGAACAAAAGATGTCCACATAATGCAGGTTGTGTTAACGTTATGTGGACTAAGCCGTGTCCACATAACGTTTTGCCCTTTCTGGAAAACAGGTTTAGAGGCATTTTTGGGTTAGGTTTATCCGTAGCAGAATGAAGAGAAACACTATAGGGAATCATAGAAAAAAATTGGGTTGAAAGAGTTTTCACAGTTTAAGTAAAGTTATTTTTTGTACCGAGTTTTCTTAACTACACGAAAACAAAGGAATGTCCACACAAGGTATGTAACGTAAACCTGGGTGTGTGTGTGTCCGGACAAATCTTGTCAGCGGGATAACTTGAGAAATACTTAAACATATGAACTTCAAATTTGGTTTGTGGATTGTCCTTGGCAATCCTAAGAAGCCTTTGCATTTGGGGCCAAAAGGTCAAGGGTCAAGGTCACAGTGGCTAAAACAAAATAAATTTTGTCAGCGCGATAACTTGAGAAATACTTTACATGTGAACTTCAAATTTGGTTTGTGGATCGTTCTTGGTCATAGGCCTATCGCATTGGGGGTCGAAAGGTCAAGGGTCAAGGTCACAGTGGCTAAAACAACAGAAATCTTGTATTTATTCTGAGATCATAGAGTTTAGGGATTAATTCATATAAAACCTACACGAACGTGTTTGCTTAATCTTCATTTATACAGATGCGAGTAAATGCTTCAAAATTGGAAGTACCAGTAAAAGCAAATGCCATGTTTTATTCATACGAACATGGTATCATTTGTACTTTATGAACTTTGTTAATATTAATTTTTCGCGATTAACATATAATAAATGCTGTAGCTTTTGCGCAGAATTATTTGCTTTATAATTTCAAGGTTGCCCCAACCCAGCCTTGTGAATGACAAGTGCATATTTGAAATCTGAAGCATTTACTCCTTTATATTCATACGAAACGTACAGATGGGAGTAATGCAAATGCCAGTTTTTATTTATACGAACTACCGTATGGTATTATTTGTACTTTTTCTCGATTAACATTAATAAATGCAGTAATTTTTGCGCATAATTATGTGCTTCCATATTTTCAAGGTAGCCCCAACGCAACCTTGAAATATGACAAGTAAATATTTAAAATTTGTAGCATTTACTCCTTTTTATTCATAAGAAACGAAGTAAACGCTTATAGTGTAGCAAAAGCTAAAAGGTAAAAGTAATTATTTTCAGAATTTAGCAAACGGTTTTTAGTAAAAGTGTTTGCTTAATTTTCATTCATACAGATGCGAGTAAATGCTTCAAAATGGTAGCAAAAGCAAATGCCATGTTTTATTCATACGAACATTGTATCATTTGTACTTTATGAACTTTAATAAATGCAGTAATTTTTGCGCAGAAGTATTTTACTTTATAATATCAAGGTTGCCCCAACCCAGCCTTGTAAATGACAAGTGCAAATTTGAAATCTGAAGCATTTACTCCTTTATATTCATACGAAACGAAGTAAACGATAAATAATTTTTTTCTGGTAATGAAACCAAGGATCCTCAAAAGTGCATGCCCCAGGCACTGTAGCTCGCAAACCCCGAAAAAAAAACGTAGAGAGAAGACAATGAGAAGAAATTACAGTTTTAGAGGTGGGAGGAAAACCCCAGAAGAATAGTCTGGGGAAAACCCACGGAATCAGGTAGGGACTGAAAACCCAATCCACATGTAGACCATGGGTGCCGATGCACAGCGCATTGTGCACGTAAACGGCATTGCGTTCGTCGCGTTTGATGCGCTTTTTTTGTATCTGTCCTCCAGCACGTGACCCTCCCCGGTGCCGCTTTCCGTTTCGGTTATGATAGTTTTATTTTCTGCAAACTTATAAACATGTAAAGCTTTACATTTTGCAGGCCATTTACTCAAGAGCAAATGGTTTTTAGTAAAAGTGTTTGCTTAATTTTCATTCATACTGATGCGAGTAAATGCTTCGAAAGTGGTAGAAAAAGCAAATGCCATGCTTTATTCATACAAACATATGGTATCATTTGTACTTTATGAACTTTAATAAATGCAGTAGTTTTTGCGCAGAACTATTTTGCTTTATAATTTCAAGGTTGCCCCAACCCAGCCTTGTAAATGACAAGTGCATATTTGAAATCTGAAGCATTTACTCCTTTTTATTCATACAAAACGAAAAAAACGATTATTAGGCCAAAAAAGGCTCTGGTTTCTGGTATGCGCGCGCGTCGCCATAGCCATGCGCGTCGGCAATGTAAGATGATGTCTTTCAATGTAAGATGATGTCTCAAACCACCAAACTCACTGGTTCGACTGGAATCCTGCTGCTGCACAATTTTAACGTGTTATTTCTCATAAAGTTATTTCTCATGTCTAAGTTTATTTCAAGCATGAAGAACAAAGGAAAATGGATGTTAAATACAGTTTTTCTGAGTTTTTTATTTTTTGCACTCCCCTTTTTGAAAAAATCTAGCCCAATTGGGACCCCACCTGCCAAATTTCATGCTTTTACCACAAAGTGCACGATTTCGGCCAAAAATGGACCTAAGCAGCTCCACTATAGTATACAATTTATTCTCTAAAGCCCTGGACATGTATAAAGCAGAGAGAGAGAGAGCCCTCTTTTGATATTGTCGGATGTCGTTTGGGGAAAAGATTTATTCGCGTCCGGCCCAAGCCTGCCAAATGTAACATAACCAAATCTTCACTCTCGTTTCGGTTGTTCTGAATCAAACAACTCACAACTCTTGGAGATCATTATTCAAAATGACCGCAAATGGGACAGCCATATATAAACTGATATTGTGTCTAGGGATTCACGTAGACCTTATAGTTACATCTTGTCTATTTTGAAAAAAAAAATACGATGCTCCCATGGTCGTCGCCAGGATTTTTCTAGCGGGAAGGGGGGGCAAAGCAAATGTTTTCCCAAAAATCATTGTACTTTCTCTAGCATATTCTCAATTTATCTTTTTTTCGAGGGTGGGCGGGGGACATTTGCTCACCCAAATCCCACTGACACCCTTGAAGACGCCAATTTTGTTAAATGTGTATTAAATTAATAGCAAATATGACTTTACACCTCTTTTTTTACCTAATCCTATGTTTATGCTACTATCCTTCCATAACGTTTAGAGTAAATTCTGATTACCTTATTATACCTGATCAACGTTTTACATATTGTATAAATCAAGTTTTTTTATTGTACATACGTATTATTAGTAATGTTAAACTCATTGTAAGTCGGTCTCATCAGCCACATTAGTCAGTGCCGACATGGTATTTTTCAAGTAAACCAGACAAATAATAGAAGATGTATATGCATGCTATACGGGAAGAGTCAAAAAGAAAGTGATCGAATTAGAAAAACATATTTTAAAAAATATGTGGCTCACTCCATTCCATACAAAAAACACAGGTATAAGGTACATGTTATTGACTAGTAACTGTGAAAATTTCACTTAATTTGTGTACCCCATTCCCAATTAGTTACGTCTATTTTATTTCAGCTGTCCACCACTGATCATTTACCGTTCTACGAACTGATGAATCCTCATTACATACAATGAAACATGGACGTTTTCCCACCTCGATGAATGGAGAACTTGCAAATGAAAACATACCAAAATCGCCATCAGTATTTCAGAAAAAAAGACAGATGACTTGTTCCTCATATTCAAAACACAAAATCTGACGGTAAGTATACTGTTTTAGTCTTAATTTAAATGATAAAAAAACTCATTGTATTTGAATGCTTGCGTGTAATTTGTAATTCTTACTCGGCTCAATAGCTTCCAATGGCATTCCATGGACAGCTATAAAATGGCTTCTTTTAGTAAAACATACATTACCTCTGATAACACAAGTCACTTTCAGTAACTCTTATATCGGAGTGGAAGAACATGCTCGTTTAAGATATATTTTATCGGTGTTTCAAATTTGATTACTTTTTAGGGGAAAAAAATAATTATTTCCGGTCACTTACTCTATGACTCGCCCTGTACAATGTCCAGTGCATGTACATGTACACATGTCTACAATGTATGCAGTACATCACACCACATGCCAAAGCATCAGCCTCAGTTACAGGCACAAAATACAGTAAATTTGAACTGTGCCACAGTTAGGTATGTACGATTTGTAACGAAATTATGGCATTACAAAGTAAGGTTAAAGTTTATCTAAAAAAAACTAGTGAAGAAAAAAAGACCGGAGATTTCCAGATGTTTGGGTCGGTCGGATAAGGGCAATTCACCCTCTTATTTTTTGGCCTTATGAAGAACAAACCAAATGGTGTTCCGTCTGGAAAAAAATATTAGATAGGTACGCTATTCGGCACTATACCTTTTTTTTTTCAATTTCTCTTCAAAGATTCACAGTTGGGATGCGATTTCTTCAATAGTACTGTTTACTAACCACATGTTTGAACTTTTGAATTTTGCGATTTTAGCGGCTCGCCCGCGAATGCTAGCGGCATGCATTACAACTGTGGGGTAATTTGCCTTTTTCGCTAAGAGCGAATAAAACTTGGGTCCATAGGGGAATATATTGGTGTCGAGAGGTTTAATGTTGATGTGTACAGGTTTGTCAGCTTTCAAGAGACCGTTCAACACACTTTGGTCAGCAAGGAGCTTTCCCTTTTTGTCATTTTCCTGCATTGTCTGAATCCAAGCTTTTACAAGCTGCAGTGTAGCATCCGTCGGCTTGTAGTATACAAACCCAGCGCAGAAATCCCCCCGTGGTGTTCGAAGCGGATATGGCGAGATCGAGTCTATTAAAGAAATATCGAAGTCTCCTTGAAAATACGGAAATGGGTCTCGGAACCAAAAAGTGTCGGCGTCTGAGAAGAGAACCTCTAATCCTTGTTCTAGCATAGCAAGGAGATAAGCTTGGCGCTTATTGAAGAGTGCGTAGTACGAGTGGCGTTCAGTGCGTAGTATCTCCTTGCTAGTGGATTCTCCTGAGTTAGTCAACACCACATGCACTGCTGGGTCACCCTCGGCTCTCTCGCTCAGATACCGGTAACATTTCTGGTCCTCTGAAAAGATGGTAATATTCACACAGACACCGATCCGTTTAATGCTCTCCAGCATGTTCAATGTTATATCCAGGAAGCCAAGGTTTGTTGAAGTCAGTAACATCACTCCAGGTCTCTTCATGATGTCTGCTAGGGTACAGTTAGAAAGTGACCCGGGCTTGTCATTCCTGACAGGTGTGCACAAGCGGGCCGCCTCATCTTCCTGTTCTCTTTGAGTAACATTACAGTTGCAAGCATTTGTAACATCGGTCGGTGCTACGGACAGCTTGATTGGTTTCTGAATATCATATGAAGTCTGCGAGTAGTCTGTGGAACAGAAAAACATTTTTTTTTAAATAAACATCTTACGTAATTACGTAATTCTGATCCAAAACAAAGTCACGAACATATACATGTGATGTACGTAGTTTTCACCGCAAAAAAAATATTAGAACCAAAGGGTTAGGTGTTGAACTAGATCGATGGTCCCCTATGAATCCCAAATTAAAGTTTGTGCTGTCCTATACAGGGCGAGTCAAAAAAAAAGCGGAACCCAAACCCCCAGAATTATACTTCATATTTTAAAAAAAATATGTAGCACCAAACGTAACAATGTCTGGAAAACCAATTTCATAAGCTACTTTTAGATGAAAAAATTAATGAAATTGCTCAATCCGTTCAAAGGATATCACGACTTAAACGCAATGACCCAAAAACCTGTGTCGTCCAAAAACAACAGTTTTTTGTGTATTCTGACTGTTTGGAACAACAAAGAAAATGACACAGAATACTTGTTTCAACAACAGACTGTCAACAAAACTTTTGTAACACAATATATTTATTAACAACCCTGGTTAGGCAAACAATATGATTTATACAATTCCACTTTTTAAAAGACGGGCCTTCAAAAGGACTTTGTTGAATATTTTTAAATTTTAAACCGAGGTTTTATCGCTGGTGATGCTTGAAGACAAGTGTGACGACGATTCTTGAAATCGCATTTTTGGACGATTTCCAGAAATTATCATGTTTGGTGCTACAATTCTTATTTAAATATGAAATATAATTTTTGGGGGTTTGGGTTCCGCTTTTTTTACTCTCCCTGTATATGTACATGTATAGACTTTTGAAAGTTCAAGTCTGTGGTGCGCTTCCGGGACCCTTAAAATGAAAATTAACGTGTACAAGTTCCAGAATATGCAATTAGTTTGGGTTCATTGACTCCTCAAGAAAATCACCCCTGAAAAGGGCGTTTGTAAAATTGTTACTAGCGTATCAATAATTATTTATGGGCACTGATAAATCGCCTCACTTGAAAGCGAAATATCGTGCAAAAAAATGACCTCTCACTTCTGAAAATCTATAGGGACGAGTGCAACTTACGGATGCATAATAATGTGAAAACTAAAAGTGAAAAAGAAGACCAAGATGACTTTTAAGGTTTTCAAATTTTGTGAATAACTTAAAGGATAGCGTTTCAGTTTGCGGTAATACCATGTGGTAATAAGTATTGTCGCTCAGTAGATATTTAGTTTTGATAAGAACTTGTCCTGCTTATTATCAACTTTCGCAAAGTAGTTTTAAGATCTGATAAGCACAGTCCTGCTTAGTTCTAAAAGAACTTGTCTTTGTTCTCAACGTTTTGACTAGCCTGCTCTAGTCATCGTCAGGAGACTGAAGGACTATTAGTCTTTCAGAAAAAACATCTAAAATTTACCGTTTATAGACTTAAACACATTCTGCTCAAGCCGACCCCTCTAAATCTAGAACCCATCGGCTGTACGTTTGATACTGTTAAAATTGTCGCAACAATTGTCGTTCTTGTCGATAAATCGTGTCACGCTAAATGGGCATTATATAAGCGTCATAATGCCTCAAATGGTTACACCTCTATGTTCCGACACCCCTATTTTCCGACACCCCTATATTTCGACTGCACATATTCCTATTCCTAACCCTAACCCTAACCCTAACCCTAACCGGGAGTAAGATAGTCTTATGTGCGGGTTGTCGTAACATAGGGGTGTTGGAACATAGTGGTGTCGGAACATAGAGCAGTCTCCGCCTTAAGTGGCGTCCTGTCCCTTTCGCGTTGAACAGCGCCCTCATACACAAGACGTCACTGACTTCACTGCTTTGCTGATAACAAAAACACATTTTCCCCTTATAAATGTGTGTGTATACTTACTGATGATAAGCACAATGAAAGCTGCTGACTGTACAAAGAATAGGACCTTATATACATGGTCTTGAGCCATCTTCACTGCGAAGGTGTACTGTAAAAATTACACTGGAACTGTGTAAAGATAAAGAGATAGAAATACATTGTACTGCTGGTATCAAAATGAACTATATAAAACAAATTTATTCCAAGAGTTTGACTCAAAAGGTCTCATTGCATTGTCCGTACTGCACATGACTTTGGGTTAATGTCGAGGACACCACAAGTAAACCATGATGTGTTTGAGGTCTGAGGTTGCGATGCCTCACAGGATACAAAAGAGACCGGAAGTCAATCATAAAAAAAATCTTATACGATACCAACCTCGTCCCCAGTGCTTACTTTCTTTCCAACCGCGTTTCCAATAGTAAGCCCTGGATAGGAAACTTTCTTCCTGTATCCTGATTCGATACCGCAATTGGCTAGAAATGGATTTGTATCGTGTACTTGGTGTTGTTATTCAAAACTTGCAGTACGTGTTTTCGCGATCATTCGTACACGCCTTCTCGAAAATACTCATTTTCTTTCCAATTTGTTCATATTAATATGAAATGTGATACTGCATGTTGTCTCGATCAGATCGTAACAGTTTATTAAATAAATCGTGTTTTCGTAACTCACGTACGCGCCGTGCTCGCACTGCGACGAATTGACTCTGTTTTTACCCTTGACACCGCACACAAAAACAAACGCTAATGTAAAGCATATGCAGGCACCAGACTATTCCTCATTTACATACGTGTTCAAAAATCTTGCACTTAATGTCCAATACCAGGGTGAGAGAGCAGGTAGTGATGGGCGCGTACTGCTCGACACCCTGGGGACGAGGTTGCACAAATGCGGTCCGGAAGCAGCTGTTGCGAAATATTTGCCTGATGTAGTAAAAAGGTTTATCGCAAATAGCTTTCTACCAACAGAGGGCGCCCTGTTGCAAAGCATCATGGGATGCAAAACGGAGCACAACTATTTTGCAGTCCCGGATGTTGAAGCGCGCATCGCGCAACCAACACAAAATGATGGCTGCGATCACACACGAAAACTTTCAGCAAACGTGTAGTGTAGGGCCCGTTTGGTTTCGATAAAATTAGAGTCAAAGAGTGTTTTTTACTACTCAAAATGACCTTGTCAACCTAGAGCAGACTTCTCTCAATATAATGACACTTTTGTGTAATTTTTGAACAGTTTCTCGGAGTAGAAATGATGATTTTCCTGCGCGGTTAACAGTGGTGCAGTGCGATTCAGCGCGCCTTGCCATTCACGGTACATCGCGCAGCGATCGGCAACTTTATTTTCGTGTTGCGTTACACGTTATCATTTTCATTCCCCCCCCCCTCCCCCCAAAAAAAAATTCCCTAAAAAATTAAAAACCCTGCCCTTTATCTATGACATACCTGTATGTTCTTAATATCGCAAACTTGTTTGGTAGGTCAAATAATTTAAAAGTGGATTTTGTTCCCTTACAGGTCGCGGGCCCGTAGATACACGATCGCCAAAATTTCTAAGCCAACATGCCTACCTAGTTACATGTGTACATGTATGTAAATAACTGTTGTGTATTTTATAAAATGTTTTTTTTTATGTTAAACAGGTTTTCTTGTATTCGTCCAAGTAAATTTGTGCCAATATTGGGGCTACCGGTTATTTAAGAAACACTGGTCATATTTGCCAAGTTTTAAAACTTTATCCAACTCTTTTTACGAGAATCTGCTCAATATTGCCAGCTTTTTAATTAAGAAACACGGCTCATATTTGCCAGTTACTTTCACCTATTTATTCCAACTGTTGTTTTGAGACTCGGCTTTTTTTATTTGAGGGACGTAGGCGCATTCCTTGATATTTTGACAACTGCTCATACAACTCTTGTTATGACACTCAAGTAGGCTTGCATTTGCCAGTTTTATTTTCAATTTTCCAGGTTTTTTTTTTACTATAAATTCAACTCTCGTCAAGAGACGCAGGTCATAATTGCATTTTTAAACAATGTTCATGTACTTTTATAAAACATGACTTGATCATTTCAATTTGCATTTTCTACATCCTTATTGTGTGCAACTTTGTTCCAAATTTTATTTACATTATTTTTAATTAAACATGTCTCTTATTTTTATGAACCTGCAAAACCTTTTACAATTGATATAATTTCTATTATCATTATCATAAGTGAAGACCGTTCATGTACATGTAGGTTAATGCCATTTATAATTTGGTTTATTTTGCATACAAACCTTGAGTAAGAATGAACAAAATAAATAAAAACTTAAGAAAAGGTACAGCAAAGTTTTGATTTTCTCAGATGGCCAGCAGTGGTGTAGTGAGATCCAATGATCGCCTCTTCACCGGTGCTCTTTTCAGTGTCTCAGGAAGGTCGTATCCTCTCAAAAATAAAGATGGGTGAAGTTCATCAGGATATGGCTGGCCGTATTTGAAGTGGTTGCTGCAGACTGTAGTTGATGATTTTACTTTGAAATCCTGCCGTTGGGTCAGTTGAGTCCAGAGAGGGAAGTGTTTCTTATCCCTGCATGAGTGGAATCCGAGTGTGTTTAAATGCTCTTTGATGACATCTATCAAGAGAAGGGGAAACGTATGATAGAGATATTTATTGTTTGATGACGGAGAAAAAGAAACCACATAAGACTTCGCAATTATTTTTATGAGTAAAACAATGGAGTAGGCTAGCTAGCTAGGCCTACTACAGTACTAGCTGACTAGGACAAATATATACATGTGTACATGGTACATGTATATTTTTTTTTTACATTTTCGTGAACAGAATATAATTTATTATAAATAAACAATCATGAAATTGTCTGTAAAAGTCACACACCGTTCGCTGACAGAAGTAACAATTAAACCATTATAAAAGCCACATATTTTTCCGATAAGAAAAGAGTCATAAAAGGGAGCTTTTGAGGGGCACAGAAACTCTAAATGCATTGGCCGACACAGTCATGACAGTGCAGAGTGTCCCGTGTTTCCCCGGTCGCGTGCGGTCGTCGGCACATCGCGATCGCGTCGGGTCAGAACTTAACTGCACGCTATCCTACGTTTTGTCGTGAGAACATTTTGTTTTCTGTACAACAAAACAACTTTAATTTATGTATAACAAAGATCATACCTTTGTGGATAACAACAGTAATTATTGCAACCCAGAACAGCACAATAATCACCTCCCATCGAACACAAAACGTCAGAAAAATGGACAGCTAAGAAATATCGTACACATCGCACCGTGCAATGCCGTGCATGCCGTGTGTACGTTTTCCCACCGCCGTGTGATGGCGCTGTTGCTCCGATTGCAGCCCCATGATCCTTTGCGGTTTGTATTTGCGATAAACCTTAACCTACATTTTATAAACTGAAAATGTTCCAGCTGTACAACTCATACATGGAAGAAACATTATTGCAGCTATATACATCGGCAATGTCGTCATGGTCATGAAGGAGAACGTCTACAAGCTTAATGGAATGACATGAATGATGGGTTTTTTTTTCATAGGCCAGCAAAAGAGCCATGAAAAGTGTCTCATGAAACGTAATTTCAACTCACCTTTTCATTACAAATACATTCCATCCGAAGCCTGAAGGCCTATATGGAATGCCTCTTTAGAAGGGGTTCCTTGATGTTTACTTGATGGTTTATGATGGTTTCCTTGATGGTTTATCCATCATGCCATGGCATTTTGCAACCGCGTTTACACGTGAAATTCTCCACAACTCGTGTACCTCAGTAACATCATAATTATATGGAGCATGTTTCTTTCCTTGCTCTAAAACCACACACACATGGCCAGTATTTTGTGTGCAATACTTTCACGCATGGACGCACCTTGCCCATTGGACGTCTTACGTAACAAATAACAGCCGGCGCCACTCACTTTACACGTATGCGAACTAGCGTTAGTTGACAGAATTACAATGTACAAGCAATGCGCAATGCCTGATGGGCCTGTTGTTTTCGCCAGTTCAGGGGCGGATCCAGGAATATCGCAGGGTGGTGTTTTTGTAGGCAAAAAAATTTGAATTTTGTAGACAGTTGTTTTCCTATGGATACTGAAAATGGATACTGAAAATCAATAGGGGTGCTTGTATCATAATTTCAATGGGAGCGCTGTTCAATCCGACGATTATTAACACTACATGTATATTACAGAATAGTGTACGAATACCCCCTAACCAAGCTGACTCTGTATTTTGGGCACAGGTGGACATCATTACCAGTTTCGTTTTTTTTTGTGGTGTCAGAGCGCAGGGGGGGGGGGGGTTCGCATTATTTTTAAGGCATTTCTATAAAAAATATTTTGACAGAGCAGGGGTTCCCCCCCCCCCTGATCCGCGCCTGCAGTTAAAAGGGTGAAAACCTCCAAAACCAACACCGTATCGCTATACAGCCATGCAAACCCGGAACAAGCAGGCTGACGTGTTTCCCACTTCTTTTTTTATCTAACTGCAATATAGATACATTTACGGAAACGTAGATGGCGAAAATAATTTACGAAAAAAACCGATCCGGACCATTCCTTCTTACTCCTCCATGAACCGACCATCCGACTACTCATCGTCATTAAGAAGCCAGCGAGGCTTTTATGTAAAAAGGCCACGTTCAATGCGTGCAGGTAAGTTGTTACAATATGTACAATATACGTGTAACTAACCAGCAGGGTGACCGTTTTAGCCGATTTTCGGCTTACTTTGACAGATGTTTTGTTGAAAAACGACTTTGACAGAAAATTTGACAGAATGAAATTTTTTTTTGGCAGATTTCTGACAGAATTCTGCAAAAATGGTTATTTGACAGAAAAACAGCAAATTTGAAAAAAAATGGTACATTTTGTTTAAAAAGTTTCAATCTTGTTCAAACAAAACCTTGCATATAAGGGGACAAGTTGGCTAATATAGGTGCTGAGGTTCACTGGGAACCGGACTTTGTCATGACACAACTGCGTCGTGCCTGAAATTTATGCAATATCTTTAGGTGACTATAGATTGTTTATAATGTAATTTGAACCTCAATTAAGGCAATACTACAACATCTGCATGTGATTTTCAGTGTTTATAATGTACTTCGAGTAATTCTGGGGAATTTGGCAGATTTTTAATAAATCTGACAGATTTTGGAAGTGGATTTAGCAGAATTTGGCTATGACCTTACGGTCACCCTGCTAACCAGCATGAGTAGTATTTACTATGGTGTGAACAAAATATGACATGTATGGATCGTACGAACATGGAGGAATAAGAACACATTAGTGTTCTTATTCCTCCATGGTACGAAGTAGCTTGCGTGGTTAACTGGTTCGGGGGAAGTATAGGTTTTCCCGGCCAATTTCACCAAGTTTTCATTCAATTTAACGCCTGGCTCATTCCATTTAGATTGAAATTGAAAGATCATGCAGATCGCCATTCAACAATCAAAAAGAATCATTCAATTTCACTATCCGAGCAATCTATTGCATTTAAGCTTCACTCGTCCCTGTAAAATAGGCAAACAAATTAAAAGTATCGCGTTGTTCATTCAATTTCGTCTGAATAACTTGCAAGGGGTTGATCGTGCATTCAATTCCATTAATGGCCAAACATATTTCACAATTTGTCAAGCATGTTTAAGACTTCCTTCACGTAAAATTTTGAATTATCTCGGCGTAAATCATATCTGATGTCTTCAATCCGTAAATGCACACCTCTCTTTATTAAAGGGGCCGTGCAATTACTTCATCTCAGGAATGCATTTTGCGCAACTTTCTACTCCTCTGAAATGTATGAAAACTATATATTTTGACATTTACAAGTTTCCATGCTTTTCCGAATTACTGAGCCCGCTGTTGCTGTGAAGTGAGTTCAGGTAGACACTGTTCAGTTGAGGGGTTTTCTTTCAAATTCTTCACCCAAAATTTGCTAATTGAAACCATTAGTGAAAAAGGATTGCTCATTAGCTTACTGACATGTACTGACACAACAACTTTTTGTGCTGAAATAGCCTGTTTACATTTATCTGCCTGGAATGACATCGAAGTTTTGCTCATGAATATGGAACTATGCATCAGCATAAAAAAGGGGAAGGCACCAAAATCCACCCTTCAAAATGGAAAAATTTGAAACTTGAAAATAAGTTTAAATGTGACACAAAGATGTGTATTCAAGGTTTGCATTGACAAATTACTTTGCATGTGCCCTTTAAATTAGTGTTCGATCAGACACACGGAAGAAATCTTTAAGAAATCACCCAAGAGAAGTGTTTCCGATGGTACAACCAAATTGCCAAACATACATGCCCCGATGTCTTGCACGTCAAGAACTCGTCAACGTTAAAAGAAGCCCCTTGATCAAACGTTTAAACATGTCGAAAAGAGATTATCTTAGCCCTTTTCATTTCATTATTTTGGTACATATTGTATCCCTCATATCAGTTAACTTGTTGCATTGTAAATTTTGCAGTCACCAAGATTTTTATGGGAAAAAATTAACATCGAAGCAAAATGGGAATATGTATCATTAAAACATCTTATTAATTGGAATGACCAAACAATGAAAGCGATTTCCCCAAAACGAATACGAAACGAAAAGCATGGTAATACGCGATAAGCGCACCGACGTTCGCTAATTTGAATGAGTAAACCGACAAAAGGTAGCAATGACTTAATTTAAGAATGCTACAATGTAAGTCTTAAATGCACCAAAACGAAATAGAATGCCGCACAACGAAAACGAACATTCAGTGCAAAATCTTGGCTGCCTAAAAATGAAATTGGATGCCCCAAAATGAAAAAGAAATCCCAATTTGATCACATGTGCAAAACTCAAGCGAAATTGAATGGCTGATAATGAAAATGATTCGAAAAATTCGGAAATTGGCCGGGAAAACCTATATTAGAAGGTACCTTGTTCGAATCCTGTCTAAATTAAAGACGTCAATTTTATTATTTTAATAAGTTGCAAAAGGGAAATTTTGCAAGATTTAAGTATTCTCTCAGAATATGTACCTTTGAATTTGTTGTCTATATTACTGTTGATTTCGGAGGTCGCCCTTCACAGGGACCACCAACAAGACTGGAGAACATGACTCAACGTGACCATACTGTCATGTTTTTTTAATGCACCGCTTGTGTTTCCCAATTTGCAGTCGATATATAGCCGCTTATGCGCATAAATTCAGTCCATTAGAAACTGATCTACAGCGCTTAATAAATGGGAATGGTACATCTGTCTCCACATTATAATATTCTGGGTACATGACACCTACAGAACAGCGGCAATGGTCTGCAAATTACATTCATCATTGCATGGCTATATTTTCTTAATTTTAGTCTTTCGTACATTGCTCATGCGTTCATATGTATACGTCTTCTAATTTTCTTTTATTTGATTTAATCTACACTTAAAGGGAAAATACATCATTTGCACACATAAACAAAACGAAATGATCAAATTATCACAAAAGACCTTACTGGATTGTTAGAGAACGACAGCTCCTAAAACGGCTCCTAAATTTGCATTTTTAGTTATTCCGCATTTCTTTTGAAAATTATTGATTACACACCTCTGAAGCGGTAGCCTGCTAGACTGATTCTCCGACCTTACAATTCCTCAAAGTCAATAAATTGCTCCGTTTCATCTTAAGTGGGGAACCAGACTACAAGAACACGATTGTTTTGGGGGGTTTTTTTGGTGTTTTTTTTTGTTTTCCAGCTTCTACAAACCCAGAACGTGAAACAAGTCAGTTTAACAATATCTGCTATAACATACTAATCCTCCCGGATTCACATTTATTTCTGAGAATCGCAGCAAAAGCAAATTTTGTACATTCCCTTTAATCATTATCATACGCTGCCGCCAAAATCGAAAGGGAAAGTTTGACAAAACAAAATATATGACCGTATTATATATTATTGCATTTGAAGCTTCAGATCTTTCCGCAGAATACTGCCTTAAAACGTATATATCCCCCAGCAATTATAACTATAAGTGAATACATTTTAAGGCCATGGAGGAATTTCTCTATTAAAAAAATTCACGGAAATATCCACGCCTCACAGGCTATGAAAATAATCGGTTTTTTGTCGCTTCTATAACCATTATCCCTGCTGAAACCTGACAGCGCTGTTGCTTGTCTGGGATATAAGAGTTTACTCTGAAACACCACTAAAACTGTATAGTGCCCTCTATAATGTGTTGCTATGTTAACCAGACGTGCAGTTGAAGTTTAAGGAGTTCAGAATACACAGTTGTTAGTCAGAATACAGTCTGAATAAGTGTCGTCTTTTCAACTTTCAGCAGGCTCACTTTTATACTCTAGAGATTTTCTGCAGAAATTATAAATCGGAAATGAAGCTCACATTGGTTTGTACGTGATTGTTTTTTTTTCAATGGCCGAGCAAAGAAAATGTCTGCCATTCATGTATTAATGTGTGTGTGTTGAGGGCAAGCTCCATCTGGTAGTAAAAGTCCATTGTCCTGAATGCTGAATATCATGGTATATAAGCAAATGTTCTCGAGAAGTTCCAAATAGCCACACGCAGGCTGACATATAGATGAAGAAAAACACTTACCGCATTGTATAGCATTTCGTTATAAGATTCGGCACGGTACTTCAACAATATAATGTTGCTTTTCCAATTGCCTTGAAAGGACTCAATCAGTCAGTCAATTTAATGGTATTTCAAGGCCTTTTGGTTTTGTGCAAATGCAAATTTCCATATTACTGAGCAACAGATGTTTAAGCAGAGACGGCACTGCGTTCACAGCTACTTGCGCACAAACAGTGTGGAGAATTTGTTTGCTGCCAAATCTCTATTTGATGTTTATTTTGTTCGTTGACGGTACGAAAGCAAGTCAATGGGCAATCGTTAATATGCACACACTTTTGCAAGTAGGCACATTTTCGGATAATAATTAATCAATTTAGGTGTTTAGAAAGTTGATATATTATAAGGAGAAATCATTCCCTCAATCCCATCGTGTATCAGGTAATGAAAAGTACGTGGCCGTTTATGCTCTAATATTGATATCAATATTAGATGTCAATATATCTAATTTGGCTCCATTCGATGGCTTTATCAGCTGACAGAAACACGTATAGCCAAGGCGGACAATTTCAATATTTTCTCCGTTATCAGACATATTATTATGTATTAACGGTACAAGTGCAATAACTATACTGCAAATACACTGTTTGTCACACCACATGTACTCCAAATTTTGTTGTCTGTGCCGTTGGACAACCCGTCTCGTGTTGTATTTGACCCCAAACTGCCAAACTTAACGTATACTACGGTTCCACGTGTGTTATTGACATGCGTGCACCTCCACTGATGATTCGTGAGTAGTTCAACATTCAAGTGGGTGAACAGACAAACCGAGTATGTATCGGCGTCGCTAGGATTTTCTCTAGAGGGGGGCAAAGCACATTTTCCCAAAAAAATCCCGATATTTTCCAGCATTTTCCCGATTGATCATTTTTTCAAGGGTGGGCAGGGACATTTGCCCCCCAACAAAAACAACAATATGATTTCGCCCCTATTTTTCTTCTTTTTTTCTCCTTTTTCTTTTTTCTTTGCTTGTCGGGGGGGGGGGGGCAAGCGCCCCTTGCCCCACCCCCTCCCCCGCGACGCCCGTGCCAATATGGAGCTCTTCTTGGTGAAAAAAATACGACATATGTCTGCTTCGACATGTTGCCACACACACGTGCCATGTAAACGCAAACAGACTGAACGATATTGTGCCATCGCTATTCCTCCATCCACGATGCTTTGCATAAACATGGAGGGAGAAACTGCCAGACTATCTGCTGACGCGCGAATGCACTTTATATATTCTATCTATAGCATTAGCAGGGCCGCTATCAACACGCGGGATTCGCGCGTACATTTACCAAGCCCGACCGCCTCTAGCTAATCATCTATAGAAATAACGACAGCCCTACCAGCAGTCAGGCAGGCTGAATGACGGGCTACAGCTGGCTATTCATACATGAACGTTGCTTACACTGGTCATTGAGGAAGCAATAGATGGTCAACATGCAAACAGCCTGGGCAAACAGCTTCCAATCCAAAGTTTAAAAAGGGTATTACCTGCAGGAAACAACTGGAAACGTGAAAACACACATCCAACCGGCTCACTGTGGCGAATAACACCAGAATGGAGGCTGTTTTGGAGGGTTGTACGACTCTGGCTGTATACCACGTACGCAGAGGCATGTTACTCTCCGTGCGTGTTGTGGTTATGCGCAGCACAAGCACTGTCTGTACGTACCGGACCTGGTTGTGGTTTGACAGTCGGAACCGTTTGACCTTACCGTTTGACCTTGAAGGCTGCAGCCCCTATCCTGCACGTCAATGATAGTGATAGTGTGATACGCAAAATTGCGGGCTGTTATTGTGTTGCATTACTGTCTGTAGTGCTAGTGGCTGCACCTCCAACACACGTTGACGGGAATTACATGTATAATTATCATCAGTTTCGAAGCGCAGTTACGTAAATTTAACATTACACGGATCAGACGTTAACGTACGTGTGCAGATCGACCCGCACAATACGAACGTCGGATTATGGGTGCGTTCGATTAGCGTATAGTCAGTGGGACGTCATTTTTTTCGCTCGCCACGCGGTCTGCATCTGGTTCGCCGAATTGTTTACAACTTCACAGACATATGTAGATTATGATGTACGCTATCGAAAAAACTTTGGTCCCCGACCAACAGTTTGTTTGGGCATGAGAAACTCGGGGAGAAAAACGCCGAAAATTCTACATGAGAAAAAAAACATGAGAAACATCGACCTCTTGACATAGTCCGAAACCTTTTCGCACGCAATGGCCGTACGAGTTCGGGCGCCCTTTTTCTTGACGCGAGTATTTGTATTGTTCTCCGCCGGCGCCCTACCGGCGGCGGGAGCACAACCCACGAACACTGCACTCGGAACACTCTCACACCACCTATATCCGTCAGGGTTTGCAAGAATGATATATCCATTTCAAGAACCAAACCCGCCCGAACTCGGCCAATGAGTGCTTGCTAGATGATATACTTCTTTCATATTATATTCTAGATTTTTGTTATTTCTCATCGGGACGCCAAAATGTCTTCCAACATGACATGATCAAGTTGTTAATTTAAGATCGAATGTTTTATATAGGTACCTGGTTATTTTAACACTTGTATCACACGAATTGCCTATTTCGACACTTATAATTTCGTCTCCAAACATTGCCAAGCTCAATACTCATTTTGAATTTCAAAAAGCCAGCACTAAGTTAGATTTAGTATAATTCAAATTTGTAACATACCGATTTGTCCCAAATTTGTGAAAATCCTGTAGCCATCGGAAAATAGAAAAAGCAAAGTCCTTTTTTGGTCATTCGTTCTAAAGATGTTGTCATTACATTTTCGTTTCTGGTGACTTAAAAGTTACAATTAAAAAATGTGCCCAAAATTTTGACTTATTTGAAAAATCATGTGATTAATACAATTTTAATTTCCTTATAGGCCAACGGTCCATCAATAAAAGTAGTTAGCTGTAAGAAACGAAATGTAATGAAAACAACATTAAACATTAAATGATCAAAAAACGAATTTGCTTTTCTATTCAACGCCGATGGCTACAGGAGACGAATTTCACAAATTTAGGACGAACTTAGGTATGTTGAAAATTTGAAATTTACTGAACCTTAATTGGAATCTAGTGCTGGCTTTTTGAAATTCAAATTGAGAATTTTAGCTTTGCGATGTTCGGGGACGAAATCAAAATATCGACATAGGGAATTCGTGTGATACAAGTTTTAAAATAAACGGGAAAACCTATATCAAACAAAATTAATTTAAAAGGAAAAGGTTTGAGAAAATATGTAAAATGTACTGTACATACATTCCAATTACTATATGTAAATCAAATTTAAAAACCGGAAAACCTCAACAAATAAAGAAGTCAAAGTATTGTGGCGCAATAGCAGTTTGGTGGTAGCCAGGGGCTATCGTAGCTAAGTAGACAATGACCAGGGCTGATGCGCGTAATGCGCTGCGGCGCCAGTCTAGTCGCCGCGTGTGTATATAAGCGCGAGCGCGCGCTCAGTGCGGCAGTTCCTCAGTTCATGAGTTCCTGAGCAGTTCCAGTCCCGTACCAGAGTGAGACACGGGTGACCAGTAGTGCGTCGCAGTTGGTGAGTGTCACATTTGCCGGAACTCTCACAATAAGACAAATGAACTACATGTATATCCTTTATATTTACAAATTACTCTTACAAATTTATTTGACAAATTTACACAACATCAAAATCGTACGTTCAGAAATGTCAAGGGGCAATCTTCGTTATGAAATCGTATTAATCGTCAGCTTATAGGTACATATAAAACCACCTCAAAATATCAATTCAGTTTATGCAATGTAATTATAGCAGGTAAGAAAATTCACTATTTAAAATATCTAGCAATCTACTTTCCGTTGCTCACAGCAAATACAACTGACCGATTCAAACTTCCAATTCAATATCTACAATCAAATATCTACGGTCAGTATCAGCATCCAGTATCCATGTACGTGCCTAGCAATAAATCCACACTATTAACAATTCAATCAATAAATCTGCACTATGAACAACCCGGACAATAAATACACACTATTAACAATTCAATCCATAAATCCACACTATTAACAATCCGTTCTATATTCACCTAAACATCACTGGCTGCTTAAACCTTTCCTATTCAAAACCTACAAGTCAATATCCAATTCAACGATTCAATTAAAATCACATAGAATGACAATTCCTGGGGTTTTCTCACAAATATTAAACGAAACCAATTTAACAATCTCCATTCCTTTTAAGTCAAAGAACACTGCTACATGTAGCTGGACACCACAGGTTACATCAATACATCAATACACAATATTCACCAATTATACATGTACATCCAAACAACAGCACCTGTGCAGCAATACACAAGAGTATATGCACAAATAGTTGCATCAAATTATTAATTTATATGTGAAATGGTACACTCAAAATGTGCGTAAATATATCAGGTGATCAAAGTGCAAAAAGTGTTATTAAGAAATTATACAATTCTAAATCAATATGCTGTTGAAGTTTTGCTGATAGGACTTGTCACATCTGCGGTAGGTATCCCGCTCTCATCGTCTAGGTCAGAGATGGACCAATCCAGTCAGAGGGACATGGCGTTGTAAGTCGGCGGTCGACCATGGGACCAACCCTCAGGATTCACCACTTAGTAGGGCCAGGTAGTACATCACAAGTACATCAACTTCAGTAGGGCAAAGTAGTACATCACAAGTACATCAACTTCAGGTACATCCATATAAGGACCATGATTGTCCAATTGTCACGCTGACCTATGCTTGTCCGAGCCACACCCAAGAACCTCACAGAACTGCAACTTCTTTGCTGATGGCCGAGGGACGGCACAAGCTGCCAAAAATGGCTACGCCAGCATGCACTCCAAAACACAGTGCTAACCCAGCAACAGCATGTATAGCAATACTCACACACACCCACTTTGCTCCATCTTATATCAGCCAACACCCACATTTACCGCATACTGGAAAGCACCCAACCAGCACCAAGCCCTGGCTGAACAACAAAAGTCTACTGGCCAGTGTAGAGGATTAAGTTAGGATTACAACAGATTAACTGTACCATTTGCAACGACAATCATGGTCCTGCTGTGGAACCTTAGAATAGTTGGAAAAGTTATGCTTACTCAGAATCAGCTGTGACAGTGAGCTTGTTTATTTAGTCCCTCGGGCGTGCAGATTAGTGGTAGTAGGCAGCTGCGTCCGTAAGTGAGGCCCTTACTGGGATAAGTTTAGCGGGGGCTAGTCAAGTCAGTTAAGGGAGGAACTCCGTCCACGGGAATGAGTAGCGAAGCCGAAGTGGTGAGTGGACGTTAACATAGTGGGGAAGATTTGTAACCTGCACAGGAAACCTGTTTAGGAAACTCGCACCTGTTTAGGGGAGACACCTGGGAAGGTGACCAACACCTGTCAAGGTCTAGAGATGATTTGCAGTCTGTCTGAGTAGATTATAATAAAGGAATGTCAACCTAAAGAGAAGAGGCCCGTGTTTGATTTGGAGATGCCCCGTTTTCCTTCCCCTGTCCTGTTCCCGTGTGTGCTGGCGCGAGAGCTGCTGGCGTAAGACCCGCCCGCGAATAAAGTTGTTCCCCTGCTGCGCCTGAGACTGCCCCAAAACGGGCCTGCTCCCTTGGCCTTCTCAGAATTGACCGCTCGCTGACGTCGGCCAAGGACGACTCGGGGTTGCTGTCGGCACGACCGCCACAGTATAAATGACGGCGGCAATGTGACGAGTGAATCAACCAGGTCCAGGATCATGTTGTTCAACTATAAGTGGACTCTTCTGCACAACTTGTGTCGTGGCGAGACATTCCTAATTTATTATTTACATGTATACCTTTCCGTCTTTCAATGTTTAATTTTTGTAGTCTTTTCATCAAAAATTACATCTGACGGAACTTCAGACCTTGGTGAAGACGATTCAAATGTTAACTTACTGCGTCTTTAACAGCACTAATGAAGCTACAAGTTAGACCTGGTCCGTGTACATACCGTCCAATCAGTTACCGTTTGAAAATTGTCAAAAGAAAAATGAAAAACGAACCCTTTACCGTTTACCCTATTACCATCTTGGTAAAGAAACAGAAAAAGGAAATCGTTTACCAGTTTCCGTTTATTCGTCTAAAAAACGAAAACAGAAAAACAAAAGTGTTGTACCTTTTACCATTTTTGAAATTGTAAACAAAAAAATGAAAAAGCAAACCCTTATCCAATTTTTGGTTTGAATTTTTGAATAGAAAAATGAAAAAGCAAACCCTTTTCCAATTTTTGGTTTTGAATTTTTGAACAGAAAAATGAAAAAGCAAACCCTTTTCCATTCTTTGGTTTTGAATTTTTGAACAGGAAAATGAAAAAGCAAACCCTTAACCAGTTTTTGTTTTTGAACTTTTGAAAAGAAAAAAGAAAAGCCAACCCTTTACTAATTTCCGTTTTTGAATTTTTGAAAAGAAAAAAGAAAAAGCCAACCCTTTTACCAGTTTTTGTTTTGAAATTTTTGAACCAAAAAGAGGAAAAGCAAACCCTTACCCTTGTTTGCTTTTGAATTTGTGGAAAGAAAAAAGGAAAAAAAGAACCCTTACCAGTCAGCGTTTTTGATTTTTTTCAAAAGAAAAAGGAAAAAGCAAACCCTTTACCCGTTTTTGCATTTGAATTTTTGAAAAGAAAAAACAAAAAGGAAACCCTTTGCCAGTTACCGTTTTCTAATTTTAAAAAGAAAAAAAGGAAAAGCAAACCCTACACTGTACACCGCTTTTGATTCTGTG